GTTATTACAGTTATTTTTTTTGTAATTCAGATGCATTCAGTATTAATTCATTATAGGGACATGGACAAAAGCCATTGGCCAAGCTGAGTTAAAACTTTTATCAGGATACCACAGTATGGGCGTTTTTCGAAAGAAAATCACTTTTTAAACTATTTCTGAAAATTCTTTTGATTCAGTCCCATTGAAAATCCTTTTCAAGTGTAGTTATCTCCTTTACAATCGTAAGTATTGCATTCTTGCTATTATTTACTATTTCTTTGCTCACTCAGGACCAGGCCCTGCCTCAGATCAATTTGTTCCATTAATGTGATAAAAGATATTGGATTGAATATGTATGGTGGCTTTAGAGTTTGGACTTTGGAGTCAGATTGCTGGGGTTCAAATCCCAGCTCCACCACTTCCTACTTGTTCTTTTGTTTCTTCATCTGCAAAATAATTATGTGGAACATTTGGTGGGTTAATACAAGGTGGCTTCAAAAAGTTCATGGAAAATTTCTATTATCTTTGAATTCAATTTTTCCATGAACTTTTTGAATACGCCTCACACATATTTAGAACTGTGCCTAGCAATAGAAGAAAATACTCAATAAATGTCTATATCAGAATAATTGAATATCTAGCTTATTAAGATGATCAGATAGTTGTACTTCAATGTGTCTATTTTTGTATATTATTAAAGATGGCAATAATAACATTGTCTATGTAGTACATAATACATTTTCACTTTTTCTATAAAAGTTGAAATTTCTGGTATCTGGCTAAATGTCTTTTCTGGAATATTAATAACTTTAGGAAACAAGACTGCAAGAAGAGCTTGAGGCTTTGTTGTGTGTGTATTAGCTGAAACTAAGGATTAAGGTAGTTTATCATTCTTCTGTGCTGTTTCCTTTAAGTTTGCTTTCACCATATAAAAAAACCACAGAGTATATTTGTTTCAAGAATTTTGATGCTGTATTTTTATCTTCCAGTGGAATCCTGGTGTGGCACTGTACAATAAGCACTGGTCTACTCACCATAGGTGGGTTGTTCAAACCCACCAGTCACTCCATGGCAACCCTATACTGGGTTGCTATGAGTTTGAACTGACTCGACGACACTTAGATACAACAACAACAGTACCTATTGTATATTTTATGCACAAGATGGCTTCTAAAAATTCATGAAAATAATTCCATTATCTTTTAATTCCATTATTCCATGAAGTTTTTTTGAAACTCCTTCACATTGATAGCCAATAATTATTTGTTGAGTGAATTAACTAGCATGATAGAAGGTTCATTTTTTGGCCAAATCATGCCTTCAGTTGTTTGTAGAAGCCTCTTAGGAGGCACCTTGTTGTTGTTAAGTGCCGTTGAGTCGGTTCTGACCCATAGTGACCCTGTATAGGGTTTCCGAGCCTGTAAATCTTTATGGGAGCAGAAAGCCTCATCTTTCACCCATGGAGCGGCTGGTAGTTCTGAACTGCTGACCGTAAGGTTTGCAGCCTGATTCCTAACCACTATGTTACCAGAGCTCCTTAAGTGAATGAATTGTAGGGATTGTGGTAAACTGTATATGAAGGCTGGAATAAGCATCATCCACAGTTTGTGACTTCTGCTATGTGAAAGGGAAGGTTTGTGGCTGCAGACTATGAATATTTACTCCACATAAATAATAGAGGAGTCCTGATGTGGTGCTGTAGGATAAGCACTGGACTGCTAATTGTAAGGTCAGCAGTTCAAAGCTACCAAGCACTTCTTGGAAACCCTATGTTGTTAAGTGCCGTTGTGTAGGCTCCGACTCATAGCAAATCTGTATAAGGTTTCCAAGGAACAGTTGGTGAGCTTGAGCCATCGACCTTGTGGTTCAAACCAACCTTGTAGCCCAGCGCATTAACCTGCAGCACCACACCAGAACTCTGGTAACCCTGTACAGGATTGCTCTGGGTAGGAACCGATTCAGTGGCATTAACAGCAACAAAGTAAATAATAAAAATTCTTAAAGTTACGTTAGACTATGTCAGTTTCCAATTCAGTGAATACCATGATTCTATGAAATTAATGTAAATATATGTGTGTGTACACATACATTCATACACACCAAGTTACCCTCCTATATGTATGTGGTGGTGGTGGTGTGCCATTGAATCAGTTCCAACTCATAGCAACCCTGCATAGGTTTTCTGAGACTGTAAATCTTTACAGGAGCAGAAGTCTCACCTTTCTACTGTGGAGGCAACTGGTAGATTCGAACTGCTGACCTTGTGGTTAGCAGCTCAGTCTATAATTCAGTATGCTACTAGGGCTCCTCTCCTATACACCTGAGTAAATGTATTAGAGAGTATCCATTTATGTCCTATATACTTATGTGGACATAAATACTTTACCCTGGAAGAAAGTTAGTGCACAAATGTCACTTTTCTCATGACTGTGTATGATACTTGTTTATTGAGACTTGATGGAGTTTTGGAGGTGCTTGCAAAAGCAATTTTGTTCTGAACTTGTAAACAATCTGTTTTCAAAGCTTTCTAATTCCTATCAATGCTAACATGACCAACTTTTCTATGTGGAACAAAAGTGAACTATTCCCAAGAAAGCGTAGGTTGATCTATCACACATGTATGTCTTATTCTTGCAGCTGGGGAAACTTATCTGCTTGTCCTTTGACTATTTGCTAGACTTCTGAAGAAATGAAGAAAAAGCCATTGGAAAACAGACAGTCCATTTTTTGTACTTTAATGGTTTGTAGGGAACGGTGGTTAAACCACTTGACTTTAACTTTTGGCTTGCAATTTGAGCCTTCCAGCTGCTCCTTGGGAGAAAGATGTAGTAGCTGCTCCCATAAAGATTTTCAGTTTTGGAAATCCTTTGTGGGCAATTCTGCTCTGTCCGATAGGATCATTATGAGTCAGAACTGACTTGATGGCAGTGGATTTGGGTTAATTGACTAGTTCTTATGTAGCACTGTAGTATAAGCAGAGAACTGCTAATGGCAAGATTGGCGTTTCAAACCCATCAGCCACTGCTCAGAAACCCTATACAGGGTCACTAGGAGTTGGAACCAGCTCAATGGCACTTAACAACAATGTGACTAGTTTAGCTACTGATGTCCCATACATTAAATGCATATGGATCTCAAAGCTTTTGACCAGTTTCATGGACTCTGGCAGGGTCTTATCTTGTATTCCCTTTGTGGGTTCAAACATATTTATATTAAAAATATATTTAATTTCAAAATGACACCCTCCTGTTTTGAAACATTAGTATAAAATATTCCTTAGCAAGAAACCAACTTTCTAAGCCTTTTGCATTTAACAACACTTGACATTTAATATCTTCATTGAAACTTGCAGTCTTGAGAACTCGCTGCTTTCCTTACCACCCCTTGCTTAATTTTTTGTTTGAGCATAATGTTAATTTTATTTTATATGTACTTTTATTTAATGTTGGCACCTATATCTTTTCACTTTATGTCTAATATAAAAGTATGGTCATAGCTTCAGCTTTTAAGCCCTGTGAGGATGAGAGCTATGTCATTTTGACTTGCTGTCCTAATGGACACTTACTTAGTGGCTTTTGATAGGATGTAAAGTTTATTGGAAAGCACTCTGGTAGCGTAGTGGTTACAAATCGAGCTGCGAACCACAAGGTCAGCAGTTTGAAACTACCAGCTGTTCTGTGGGAGAAAGATGAGGCTTTCTGCTCCCGTAAAGATTTACAGCCTTGGAAACCCTGCTCAGGGTCGCAATGGGTCGGAACTGACTCGACGGCACTTAACAACAACAACAAAAGTTTCTTGGGGTTTTGAAGCTGAACAGAGATTGTTTGAATCATTTTGTAAGTTCTTTGGAAAATAGTGTTTTGCCTTTTTTTTTTAAATACTCATGCTGTGTCATCAACAAAATGGATCAATCTTAGACTTGGTTAACCTATTAATAACATATTGCTAATCCATTTGGAAAATAGTTATTGGGTGAGGAAAGAAGTACATTTTGTGGATACTCAAATTTTCTTGTTCTAAGGCATTGAATAGAAGAATTTTACAAAAACAGTATTATAATATTTAGATTGCTTTATGTTCCTTGCTTCCAACTGTGCTGTTTGCTGCTCAAAAAGCAACTATTGGGCAAATTTCCTCTGGCTCTCTTTATCTTGTCTGATTTGTTTATTACTGATGTATTCTTATTATACAATGGGGCTTCAAACAGCTTGTGGAATAATTCCATTATCTTTTAATTCAAATTTTCCTTGAAATTTTTGGAGCTCCCTCCCCGCCCCATATTACTAGTCATGCTTCTTGTATATATTGTGATTGAAACTCAAGACAGTGTGGGTGGAATTTGCATTGTTTGTCTTGAAAATTGACCAGCATTTAGTATGTCTGTAAGACTTTCACATACATGGTTTGAGTCTTTATCCAGAGTACCTGTAGTACTTTGGGTTCCTCTTACTTGAAATTATATCTAAGTTATTCATTAAAATTGGAACATTCTTAAGGAATTTGTTTGAATGATTGCAAATTCAACTGAATTAGAAGCATTAACATGCCGTTAATATATACTGAATTTTAAAAAAGTATACTTCTCAAAGAACTTACCATGTTTGAATAATCTTCAGTTTAGTTACAAATTTTAATTTTTTTTAGTGGAACTCAATATTAAGGAAGAAAAAGTTAGAAACAAGTTTAATGCTACCTCACATTTTATAATTAATCTCTAATTTTTAGGATTGATAAAATGAGTACACCTCTTAAAATATAATTTTCTGTCTGTCACTTTATATAACTTAATATTTCCTTGTTACTTCACACCCTGAGCAAATGCTTTGATTCCCACCCTCCTATCTTTTTCATTCTGTTTTTCTTTCTTTTTTTTTTTTGCCTCTCCTTTGTTTCTTTATTTCATGTATTTTTCCTATAATATACCAAAACTGTTTTGTGTTGAAGGAAGAAACTGCATGATGTACTACAGGTTTTATAAGTGATGAAATTTAACGTCCGTTTATGTCTCTTCCCCTGCACAGTCCCTTCAGTCTGAATATGTTCATTACTAAGGCCTTGCCACTCCGGTGAAAGCTGTTCCACCCTTAGAAACAATGTCTTCATCTGGACGAGCAATGTAGAGGGAAAGCAACTGCTCACTGGGAGCATATCTCTGCCTTCCTGGGAATATGGGAAAGAAAACCATATTGACAATTCAAAGAAAGCACTAAGATAAGACCTTCAAGAGACTTGAAACCAGAACATCCTGGTTAATGACCTCTGTAAACGCACTGAAACTATGCTTACGGAGATGTCACGGATTTTTAAGACAGTTTTAATGTTGCATTGAGTATTTTTGAAAGGTTATTTTATGTACTTCTGGAATACATTTGCTATTACATTTACATGTACAGTGTTACATTATGTATGTATTATCAACTTTAAAAGACTATTTTGGATAAATTTATAAATATATAAAATGATGTAAAAACTAGACTATATTTTGTTTTAGATTTTCCTGCTGTTTGCTACCAAAATTTTGTATTTTGAATTTGTTTTTAGGCTTGTTTTTTCCTACTATGAATATATAATTTCTTCTTAAAAAGAAAAAAGTAAGGGGGAGAGAGGTTTTAGAAAGGGATTTTTAGGTTTCTACGATGAATATTGCAAATCAGTTCATTCTTTGGGAAAGTTAGTGTGATTTAATGAGTTTGTCTGAGTTTATCTCCAGCAAGAGTGTAATTGTGTGATAGGGTTTATTTAGACCATTTCTTTCCCTTTGTTTTTGTTGCTGAGCCATTTAAATTCGTTCTGCAGCCTTGGGGACTTCTGAAAAATATTAACACCTAGTTGAAGACCAAAATTCATTGAATGTTCTTCCAGAAAGCATGGTTTTTTTGTCTATGAAGTGACACAACATTCCAAGTACTTTTATTTCCTTCCTCCTTCTTTGCCCAATTAGAATCTTCTGTTTTTGGTACGAGATTGTTGTTGTTTATAAGCACATATGGTCTGATACCAGTTTTAAATCAATGAAGAGGAAATAACTGAAAAAGATGCTGCAAAGTAGTTCTCTGTATCAAAGGAGATTTTTTTTTTTTTTAAACACAAGAGTACAAACCCCTGACGCACATACTAGCATATCAGGAACCTGACGGAAAATGAAGGGACCCTTTATAGGTACTCACAGCTCTTTTATGTAAGTATAATCTCACAGTCAAGCCTTTGAAAGCTGCAGGCTTTATTTCTATGGGGAGTTGGGGAGCCTTAGATCCTGATTCTTTTCTAGGCTGCTGAAAAATGGACTACTCAGAGACATTGAAAATGCTAGTAAAGTGGATTCATATGAAGTACTTTATGTCCAACCATAGAATTATTAGTAATGTATTTATTAGGAGAGGGTACCTTGAGACGACTTTCTAGGTTTCAGCAAAATATCTTATTCATGTTTTACATTTTAAAAAAGGCATTTGAATGAATGTTTGACTCAGGTCCATTAATTTAACCTTCAGTAACCGCAGTACCAAATAATTGCACTAAACTGTTGAAAAATGAATTGTATGTCTTAAGAGTAAAACAATTAAAATTAAAATTAAATAGTAAACTATTTTATTATGGATTATTATAAAGATTGATTGTATAGGAAGATGATAGTATTTTTTTTAAAAATTTTATCAGTGGAAATTAATTCAGATGACATTTGGAAAAGTAGGGAGAAGACCATATTGACAGTTTCAGTTCTGTGAACACTAATTTGTGTGCAGCTATTAAAATGATTGTAAAATTAACTGCTGTAAATTCTTTATAATTATATATGTATATAAGTCATATGTATCTACATGTGTATGTCTTAAAATTATTTATACACATGTACATACATAGACACACCAAGAAGTGTATGTATATAATATAGAAAGTATATAGCAAAGTAATTCTACTCCAGTAATAAAAATTGTTTGACATGTATTTTGTTATGAATAGTTTACCTTCCAAAAGATATTTTGTTTTATTTTAAAGTGTAGAAGAATACACTGCTAATAAATAATAAAAGTTTTATGCAATTTATCTATTCTGTGGCTTTTTTATAGCTTGAATTTTGAGTTATCAATGTAATAAAGTCTTTGTAACATTATTTTTGATTCAAACTCTGGTTGGTGCTTTTGAGTTTTCTCAGTGTCTCTGTTTTGGATTTTCAGTTGATATTCTATTCATTCTCCAGGTCATTCCTTTGCCTTAAAAACATGATTGAACCCTAAGAAACCTTGCACATTAAATTTCACAAATGTTAAGGTATCTCTGTAGTCCTGGTGTGGTACTGTAGGATAAGCACTATACTGCTAGCCAAAAGGTCAAACCCACCAACCACCCCTTGGAAACCCTATACAAGGTCACGAGTCAGAACCAACTTGACAACACTTAATAACAGCAACAAGATATTTTTAGCTCTCTTTCTGTAACTTTCCCTTCTGTTAAACAAACAAAACACACACATTGTCAATGCTTAGTGTTTTGAGTCCTGCTTGGTTATTTATGGCTAACAAAACACTGATCTTCAGTTTCTTTTGATGAAGGATGACCATATGTCTTACAGAAGAAATTATAGAAATAAGTCAGATGGAAAACAAATTTCAAACCTGCTGGGTCTATGCCTGGAAGAGTCAGACTGGGAGGAAAAGTCTACCGTTTATTGAAGATATTTTATGTCTTAAACTTGGTCTCTTTTGATTGGGATATTTTTGAGTGTTTATTCATTTAAACATTTTTTTCAGAAGGCAAAGGAAAGGCTGTGGGGTGAGAGGTAGTTTTACTTCTGGACTTGGTTTAATAATGGAGAGGGGTATATTTTTTAAAGATACTCAAAGTCGGGAATCAGTCTTCATAACACTGAATGAAATCATTGGGATACCCAAGTTGTCATGGGACCATGTGTTTATGGAGTATTCTTCTGAATCCATGGAATGTCTAGAAGAACAGAAATTCTCTTTTTCTATGGATTTAGTTCTTAAGAAAAATAAAATAAAAAATGAATTGGTTAGTTCCAATGGATTTGTACCTTTAAATGTAAAATGATTGATGCATTTCAGAACATACCTGGAGGGGCTACCCAATATATATTTTGCTGTGATTCAGCAAGAACATGAATTGACCAACATAAGCTGTGTTTTCAAATTGTTCTGACTTGTATGTTTTCTTTGGTTATGTGTTAAACCCTCAATAGATTACAAGTCTCTACTTAAATGTATTGTTGGTGTACACAGGGGCTTCAGAAAGTTTGTGGAAAATGTTCCATGATCTCTTCATTCTATTTCCATAGACATTTTAAAGCCCCCTTGTATAAACTGAATGATAACTTATTTTTTAATCCTATAAGATAGAGGTCTGTGCCCTTTCCAAAACATTGTGAGAAGGCAGATTTAATGGCTGCAAAGCCTTGCAGTTCTCTGCAACACTCTGTAAAACAAGAATTTGGTTATTGCATGCCTTCCTAAGAAGATTAATTACGGCAATGCCTCATAAGATTTCCAATTACAGCAATCTTACGCCGGACATAATTTACAGCATAAGATAAAACTTCTTTATTTACACATAGGTTGCATAGGGGTGGCACCCATGGCATACAAAGGAAAGTAGAAAACAATTATATTAAGTTATTTTGAGCTGAATTGAAATGTTAATATATTCCCACCCAGTTCCTTCTCTATGGATTGAATTATGATAATCATATCAAGGAGGAAAATAGCTTTTCTAGAGTTTTCAACTTTTTTTTTTTTTTTTGGTAAGTGCAAGTAGAAAATTGTTTTAAAAAGTGACTTTTATTGAAAAATATATTTATTTGGAACTGGTTTTAAATGGACAAACATAAGTAAGCTGCCCTTTTCATTTGACGATGCTTTGTTTTGACCAGCATATCACCAAAATAGAGGTGAATAATGTCACCAGTTGTTATTTCTCCATTTGTTTAAATCAAGTTGACCAAAGCATTTCTGAGAAGTCCGTGTGTAGGAGAAAAATGGGACACGAGAACTCCAGTTGCACATGTTTACATGAAAACTTCAGATGTAGGGGTGTGATCTAGAAAATGTATTTCTGCTTATTTACATCATTGCGTTCTTCCAAAAGGATCTGGGGTGGCTTCAGAGAACAAAGCAGGCATGCCACAGATGAGCAAGTAAGTATTTGAAGCCACCAAATTTTGATGTAACTGATGTTGTATTTAAAACTGAGATTAATAGGGCTAGTTCACATCAAATATGAGTAAACTTGGCCTTCAGTTAACTCCAGGGCCCCTCATTAGGATCTGTTTTACTCAAGTGTTTAACAAGAGATTATCTCAGGTGAGATCTTGCAGTGTTATTGTTGATCTTGACATCCTGATCTCCCATAATAATTATTGCAGGTGCATGGAATAGAGAGTTCAAAGGACAAATTAAAACCAGAGATTGGAATAGTGTAATGATAGTCCATGCAGCCATGCACCCAAACACCAACCCATCCATCTACCTGTCTACCTATCTAGTATGTTGTTGTTGTTAGGTGCCATAGAGTCAGTACTGACTCATAACGACTCTACGCACAACAGAAAGAAACACTGCCCAGTCCTGCGCCAACCTCACACTTGTTGCTATGCCTGAGCCCATTGTTGCTGCCACTAGGCCAATCCATCTCATCGGGGATCTTCCTCTTTTTCTCCTACCATCCACTTTACCAAACGTGATATCCTTCTCCAGAGACTGGTCCCTCCTGATAATATGTCTAAAGTGTGAGAGATGAAGTCTGGTCATCCTGGCTTCTAACGTACATTTTGGTGTACTTCTTCTGGAAGTTCACTGTCAACGTATGGTTACAGCTGTTTTGTATTATATTTAGTAAACCTTTTCTCACATGGGATATCAGTGATATTGTTGGATGATTCCTGCATTCCCTTGGGTCACCTCTCTTTGGAGTGGGCACAAATATGGATTTCCTCCAGTTAGTTGACCAGGTAGTTGTCTTCCAAATTTCTTGGCATAGATGAATGAATTCCTCCAGTACCTCATCAGTTTGTTGAATGATTTGAATTTGTATTCCATCAATTTCCGGTGCCTTGTTCTTTGCTAATGCTTTCATTGAACCTTAGACTTCTTCCTTTAGGATCGTTGATTCTTGATCATACGCTACCTCTTGAAATGGATGAACATCGACCATTTCTTTTTGGTACGGTGACTCTGTATTCCTTCCTTCTTCTTTTGATATTTATGTGTCACTCAATATTTTGTCTATTGAATCCCTGAATACCACAAGTCAAGGTTTGAAGTTTTTCTTCAGTTCCCTCAGCTTGAAAAATGCTGAGCTGTTCTTCCCTTAGGTTTTCTAATTCCAGGTCTTTTCACATTTTATTAGAATATTTAACTTTATCTTCTAGAGCTAATCTTTGAAATTTTATGCTCAGCTCCTGGACCTCCTCACTTCTTCCATTTGAGTTAGCATCTCTACTCTGGAAAGCAAGTTTCAGTCTCTTCTAACATCCATTTTGATCTTTTCCTTCTTGTCTTCTTAATGACCTTTTGCTTTCTTTCTGTATGATGTTCTTGATGTCATCCCACAGCTATTCTGGTCTCTGGTCTAATGCGTCTAATGTATCAAATCTGTTCTACAGATGATGTCCAAATTTAGGTGAGATATATTCAAGGTCATATTCAGTCTCTCGTGGACTTATTTTCATTTTTTTCAGCTTTAGCCTGAACTTTCATATGATCAATTGATGGCTGTTCAGCAGTCTTCCTCTGGCCTTGTTTTGGCTGATGATATGGAGTTTTTCCACCGTCTTTTTCCACAGATATAGTCAATTTGAAATCTGTGCATGCATTCCATCTGGTGAGGTCCATCTATGTGTATAATGTGGTCTAAAACAGGTATTTGCAGTGAAGAAGTAGTTGGTCTTGCAAAATTCTGTCATGCAATCTTCAGCATTGTTTCTATCACTAAAGCCATACTTTCCAATTACTGATCCTTTCTCTTTGTTTCCAACCTTTGCATTCCAGTCACCAGTAATTATCAATACATCTTGATCACATGTTTGAAGTTGATAGACTTCTTTATTTGCATCATCACTGACTCTAGTGGTTGGCGCGTAAATTTGAATAATAGTGGTATTAATTGGCCTTCTTTGTAGGCATATGGATATTATCCTATCACAGACAAATCTTGATATGTTCTTTTTGATAATTTTACAATGCCATTCGGCTTCAATTTGTCATTCTTGGCACAGTAAAACATAGGCTTGTCAGATTCAAAATGGCCAATGCCAGTCCATTTCAGCTCACTAATGCCTAGGATATCGATGTTTATGTATTCCATTTCAGTTTTGACAATCTCCAACTTTCCTAGATTTATACTTTGTACATTCCATGTTCCAATTATTGGATGTTTCTCTTCATTTTGACTTATGCACCATCAGCAAATGAAGGTCCTGAAGACTTTACTTCAGTCATGTCTTCATGGTCAACTCTACTTTGAGGAGGCAGCTCTTCTGCAGTTGCATTTTGAGTGCCTTCCAACCTGAGGGGCTCATTTTCGGGCACTATATCTGACATTCTGCTGCTTTTCATCATGTTTCAAAATTCAATACTCCTGTGATGACAGTGTCCTACTGTGTGCATAAGGTTTTCAGTGACTAAATCTTTGAAAGTAGTCCTTCTTTTCTTCCTAATATGCTTTTGTCTGGAAGCTCAGCTGAAAACTGTCCACCGTGGGTGATCATACTGGTATTTAAAATACCGGTGGCGCAGCTTCCAGAATCACAGCAACATGCAAGCCACCACAGTACCACAAACTGACAGACAAGTGGTGGACCTTGTAGTACATACAAGGGTAAGTAAAAA